CCTGTAACTACACTTAGGTAATTACACACTCCTCGGGCCTCCTACTGATTTTCTCAGTGTTAATAATGTTCTTTAATGTTCTTGTTCTGTGGCAGAAGTTATGTTGGTGATGTGGGTGAAGGATCAGGGGCGGGCGAGAGGTATGAGAGTGGGTTAAGTAAATATCCCCTCAGTTATATGTGCTCCCTGAGCGTTTTCTATGGTTGCAGCTGGAGGCTGTTAGCCTCATAATGTCTGGTGTGTCCAGTCATGGAGTGACCCCCCTCTCGCTCTCTAGGGTGGGTGTATGTATACCCCCGGCACACCAGGGTGGGTGTATGTATACCCCGGCACACCAGTGTGGGTGTATGTATACCCCGGCACACCAGTGTGGGTGTATGTATACCCCGGCACACCAGTGTGGGTGTATGTATACCCCGGCACACCAGTGTGGGTGTATGTATACCCAGGCACACCAGTGTGGGTGTATGTATACCCAGGCACACCAGTGTGGGTGTATGTATACCCCAGCACACCAGTGTGGGTGTATGTATACCCCGGCACACCAGTGTGGGTGTATGTATACCCCGGCACACCAGTGTGGGTGTATGTATACTCTGGCACCTGAGGCATTACCTGGTTACCTGGTTGGTTGATACCTGGTTGATGGGGTTCTGGGAGTTCTTCTACTCTCCAAGCCCGGCCCGAGGCCAGGCTCGACTTGTGAGAGTTTGGTCCACCAGGCTGTTGCTTGGAGCGGCCCGCAGGGCCACGTACCCACCACAGCCCGGCTGATCCGGAACTTCTCTTAGAAAACCGTCCAGTTTTCTCTTGAAGATGTCCACGGTTGTTCCGGCAATATTTCTTATGCTCTCTGGGAGGACGTTGAACAACCGCGGACCTCTGATGTTTATACAGTGTTCTCTGATTGTGCCTATGGCACCTCTGCTCTTCACTGGTTGAATCTTGCATTTTCTTCCATATCGTTCACTCCAGTACGTTGTTATTTTACTGTGTAGATTTGGGACCTGATCCTCCAGTATTTTCCATGTGTATATTATTTGGTATCTCTCTCGTCTCCTTTCTAGAGAGTACATTTGGAGAGCTTTGAGACGATCCCAATAATTTAGGTGTTTTATCTCGTCTATGCGTGCCGTATATGTTCTCTGTATTCCCTCTATTTCAGCAATCTCTCCTGCTCTGAAGGGGGAAGTGAGTACTAAGCAGTACTCGAGACGGGACAGCACAAGTGACTTGAAGAGTACAACCATTGTGATGGGATCCCTGGATTTGAAAGTTCTCGTAATCCATCCGATCATTTTTCTGGCTGACGCGATATTTGCTTGGTTATGCTCCCTAAACGTTAGATCGTCGGACATCATTATTCCCAAATCCTTGACATGCTGTTTTTCTACTATGGGAAGATTCGATTGTGTTTTGTACCCTGTATTATGTTTCAGATCCTCATTTTTGCCGTACCTGAGTACCTGAAATTTATCACTGTTAAACATCATGTTATTTTCTGCTGCCCAATCAAAAACTTTGTTGACATCTGCTTGTAGTTTTTCAATGTCTTCAGCAGAGGTAATTTTCATGCTGATTTTTGTGTCATCTGCAAAGGACGACACGAAGCTGTGGCGTGTATTTTTGTCTATATCAGATATGAGAATAAGGAACAGTAGCGGTGCAAGGACTGTACCTTGAGGTACAGAGCTTTTAACATCGCTTGGACTCGATTTTATCTGATTGACTGTTACTCTTTGTGTTCTGTTCGACAGGAAATTGAGTATCCAGCGTCCTACTTTTCCAGTTATTCCCATTGACCTCATTTTGTGAGCTATCACCCCATGGTCACATTTGTCGAACGCCTTTGCAAAGTCTGTGTATACAACATCTGCATTTTGCTTTTCTTCTAGGGCTTCTGTGATTTTGTCATAGTGGTTGAGTAACTGTGACAGACAGGATCTTCCCGCTCTAAATCCATGTTGTCCTGGATTGTGCAATTCATTGTTTTCCATAAAACTAGAAATTTGATTCCTAATCACTCTTTCAAACACTTTTATTATGTGTGATGTTAGTGCAACTGGCCTATAATTTTTGCCAAGGCTTTACTCCCCCCCTTGTGCAACGGAGCTATATCTGCAGATTTAAGTGCTGCTGGATTTAAGTGCATTATGCGAGGCGGGCTTCGGGAGACGGGTTCGATGTGATATCACATCTCTGGGTGTCATCTTTTCTGACTGTTATCGTTTCCCTTCCTTGTTCCTGCTCTCCTGTTCTCAGCACCATCCTTAATAATAATAATAATAATAATAATAATAATAATAATAATAATAATAACATAAACATATAATGATCATTTGCAATGCTCCGTAGTAGGTACAGTATTTGAATATTATATAAAACCACTAATTATTCGCAACATTTCTGCCATAACGAATTAATAAAAACAATTGGACTTTGTGTGGGGTAATTCTTAATACTCTATATTTACTGGAATTAATATCTTGTGTAGACGATATTGTAAGTTTTTGCAACTTACCACAATATTAATTCGTACGTGCCTAGTGTCTACGTGTTCTGGGATCAATGCTCTCGGGGCCCGGCCCCGGTACCTGACCAGGCCTTTCGGTTGGTTGTCTGGTCAATCAGGCTGTTACACGCCGCTGCTCGCAGTCTGACGTGTAACATCTTGGTTGATCAGGTATTCTTTGGAGGTGTTTATCGAGCATTGAGACGTTGGAGTCTTATCTCCACTTGAAGATTATGTACAACTCATTGTTCTGAAGCCTCGAGTAGTGTGACTCTGTCTTAGGTCACTTAGGTACTCCCTTATTCACGGGGGCAACTTTCCCGTCACTTCTGGTCGTATTTCTGCCGTCTTCACCGTCTCATGAGGCGGCACGGCATCTGAGGCTTCATGACAGACCCAAAATTTACAGTCTACCGACTCAGCGGCTCTGTCTTGTTTGATTTATGTCGCTCAGTCATAGAATTATATCAACTTAGGCTTTGGCGTCTCTGAATCCAAATGCTTGTGTGTTGTAAAGTATCTTCTCTGTACATGTTCCCGCCAACCTCTTTCTCAGGGTCTTCTTCATCTGCAGTCTAGTGCTTCCTGTCAACCTCCCGTTTTGTTTTGAATATTGGCACCGTTTTTGAGGTCATTCAACTTTCTGGCAGCTCTCCTGTTTCCAGTGTCTTTGTCCGTGGCTACCATAGAACTTCAGCTCACTTCCCTTCCCCCCCCCCCCCTACCCAAGATCACCTCCCTATCCAACCTTGTTCCTTCCTACCCAACCTCGCCCCCCCTACCCAACCTCGCCCCCCCTACCCAACCTCGCTCCCTCTACCCAACCTTGCCCCCTCTGCCCAACCTCGCCCCCCCCTACCAACCTCGCCCCCCCCCCTCTACCCAACCTCGCTCCCTCTACCCAACCTCGCCCCCCCCTACCCAACCTCGCCCCCCCTCTACCCAACCTCGCCCCCCTCCCTACCCAACCCCCCCCCCTACCCGCCCCCCTCCCTACCCAACCCCCCTCTACCCAACCTCTACCCCCCCCCTCTACCCAACCTCGCCCCCCTCCCTACCCAACCCCCCTCTACCCAACCTTGCCCCCCTAACCTCGCCCCCCTCCCTACCCCCCCCCTCTACCCAACCTCGCTCCCTCCCTACCCAACCTCGCTCCCTCCCTACCTCGCCCCTCCTCTCGCTCCCTCCCTACCCCTCCTCGGCCCCTGCCCAACCCCCGCCCCTGCACCCCACAGCGAGTAGTGAGGGAGGTTGTACACCGGCCATGCGAGTCAGGGTGTTGGTATTGCGTTTCCACCAGACAGTTTTTTTGCAGCATCTCCCCAGTATTGCAAGCTTCACTCTCATGTTTTTGTTTGCAATATTCTTCAAATAAACTTCATCTTGTTTGTATAACGCCTAAGTTATTATTGCTTGAAGGTGACAAGTTGTTCCAAGACTGACCTTAATAGCCGAAAGCAAGCAACTGAAGTCAACAGTAACAATAAACAGAATGGTTAGTGTTACTGTTCACTGTTATATGCTCATCCTCCACAACTACAACTAGATGAGTACAATTAGGTGAGTAGACAGGAACCAGGAGCAACACCTCATGAACTTGAGGGATGAGGGATGCTAAACTCATCATCATAGAAGACAACATTAGGAGACAGTGTAAAGAACCTGTTGCCATCAGACATACTACTACTACACCATCCAACACAATGATTAGACATTCTTCGTGGTGACTCCCTTTTGCTAAATTAACACTTCATAAACATAGATTGTATATAATACATGCTGGAGTCGTTGCGTATAATACATGCTGGAGTTGTTGTGTATAATACATGCTGGAGTTGTTGCGTATAATACATGCTGGAGTCGTTGCGTATAATACATGCTGGAGTTGTTGCGTATAATACATGCTGGAGTTGTTGCGTATAATACATGCTGGAGTCGTTGCGTATAATACATGCTGGAGTCGTTGTGTATAATACATGCTGGAGTCGTTGCGTATAATACATGCTGGAGTCATTGCATATAATACATGCTGGAGCCGTTGCATATAATACATGCTGGAGCCGTTGCATATAATACATGCTGGAGCCGTTGCATATAATACATGCTGGAGTCAGCAACAGCTCCTCCAGGGAGCCTTCCCTTCACATAGCTCATCATATGCCATGCTTTACTGGTTTTTCCCTGGAACACAATTTGCCTTCCAATTTATTATCTGATTACTACTGGGTGAACAAAGGCGGACAGTTAAGGATCAGTGCACCTTCGTGCAAACTGTACGAAGGTACAGTATTGCAAAGAAGAAGAAGAAAAAGGATCGGTGCATAGTCGATTCTCCTTACCCCAGGGCTCAAATCCAGCCAAAATAACTCACTAGGGATAGGGTGAGCATGCTGCTACCACACCACAATGTTTGTAATAAATGTGTGTGCATTGCATTACTACTGACACTGAACATAAGGCTAATAATGCAACTTATTGTCCCCTCCAGATATGATTATGAAGTCCTGATGAGGAATTCCACATTCTGCCTTGTGCCTCGAGGTCGACGCCTGGGGTCCTTTCGTTTCCTGGAGGTGCTGCAGGCAGGGTGTATCCCAGTGCTTCTTGCTAATGGTTGGGAGCTTCCCTTCAGCGAGGTCATAGACTGGAGCCAATCAACTATAGGTGCGGACGAGAGATTGCTTCTACAGGTGAGCAGGTTTCTTGACTCCAGTATAAGCATGATGTATCATTTAATTCTTCAAGAGTATAGTTACCCCAGCCAGGTCATGTATAGGTAATTAAAAAAGAAATGATCCGCAAAAAAAATTATTTTATGATTTTCGTTGTTTAAAATTCAGTAGTAGTTAAGATCTGGAAATTACTGTATTTGCCAGTATATAAGACACACCTAATTTATAAGGATATATGGGGACAAAAATTTAGTGTGCTTTATCATACATTTATTGTAAGTGATTTTCAGGTGGGTTTGTAGGGTAGAACATGATTTTGTGCATGTAAGTAAATACAGTACTGTATATATTGGATTAGTGGTGAACAAAAATGATCTACCTCCCAGCAATTACAGTACTGTATTGAACAAATATTTACAAAAAATTATATTCTTCTTGGATATACAGATTATTGTACAGTGTACAATATTCAAACTACATATTTATTGTATCTTCTTTATATTGAAATATATATTGAATATACAGATTTTCATATTTCCTTGGATATACTGTACAGAATTTCATATTCACTTCAAATTTTGTCAAATTGAGTCCTGAAGTTTGGAGAGAAGAATTCCTCCATAATATTGCAGGAATGGCATTTGATCCCTAATGATCAAAGTTCTCATTATCCTTCCAAGCTATGTAATCATACTACAAGTGTGTGTAGTATATAGTCCTTTCAAGCTCTCCAAATGTACTCACTAGAAAAGAGACAAGAGAGATATCAAATAATATACACTTGGAAAATACTGGAGGGCCAGGTCCCAAATCTACACAATAAAATAACAACATACTGGAGTGAACGATATGGAAGAAAATGCAGAAAAGAACCAGTGAAGAGCAGGGGTGCCATAGGCACAATCAGAGAACTGTATAAACATCAGAGGTCCACGGTTGTTCAAAATCCTCCCAGCAAGTATAAGAAATATTGCCGGAACAAAAGTAGACATCTTTAAGAAAAAACTAGATAATTTTCTCCAAGGAGAGCCGGACCAACCGGGCTGTGGTGAATATGTGGGCCTTCAGGCCGCTCCAAGCAGCAGCCTGGTGGACCAAGCTCTTACAAGTCAAGCCTGGCCTCGGACCGGGTTTGGGGAGTAGAACTACTCCCAGAACCCCATCAAGCAGGTATCATACTCCTTTCAAGTGCTATATAGTCATACTCCCTTCAAGTGCTATATAGTCATACTCCCTTCAAGTGCTATATAGTCATACTCTTTTCAAGTGCTAATTAGTCATACATGCTTAGCACTTTCTCCTCATAATAACCTTACAGTCAGCATAACCTTAGGCTTAAACTTTCTATTAGCTTTCTTTAATTCTGCTTCTATCCCCGCGTGTGCTTGGCTTGGCAGGTGCCGGACATGGTGCGTTCAATAAACGCTTCACAGATGCTTCACATGAGGCAACAGACTCAGCTCATGTGGAATCAGTATTTTTCTTCCGTACAAAAGATTGTACATTCTACCCTTGAGGTAAGCATATACAGCACAGTATTTCATTTCCTAGTGTTAAGTAGACCGTATAGGCTATAAAATATTGTTGAAATTATCAAGAATTTGATTTCTTCTTATTTATGTATATTCGGAAAATATTTAAATCTTCAGTGACTCTTGATCATAAGTTGACAATTGTTTGTAACTCAAAAATGATGTAGCTATTTAAAATACTACACTGATAACAAATTAAATGTGGGAAAATTGCATATGGTGACTGTAGCACAGTAGGAAATCTTGAATAGCTACTGTAGCAGTGTAGGGGTTAAGGGTAAAAGCTGATGCTTTGAATGTTTGCAGATTGTGGCTGACAGAGTGAGAAGGCACAGATCACGTCCACTGTCTGTCTGGAACTCAAGTCCAGGAGCTTTGGCAATTAATTTGACCTTCTCTGATTATTTACCACATTTCCCATTCTACTTGACATCTCTTGGCACAACCCCCAGTGCAAGGTATCATAAAACACGCTCTCATCAACATTTACATTGTGATAACTGTATATTGCATATATATTTGTTTAGAATTACATCTTGTTTTCAAACTACTGTAGTATTGTGTAGCTTTTGTTACCTTTCAAAAGATACAATGAATGCCCATATGATAGGAGTGCTTGTTTAACATACTGATTCTTGTACAGGTATACAGCAGTGATATCTGTAAGTCACGGAGGCACTGGTGCAATCCACACATCTCCTCTCTACAAGCTGGTTAAGAATATTGCCCGTAGCAAGTTCGTTGAAAGGGTGAGTATATAAGAGGTTTTTAATTTATTTATGAAATGCAAGTAATTAAAATTATTTATGAAATGCAAGAAACACTGGTGTTATGTACTTTAAACATATTCATGATAAGAAAGAAACAATCAATTAACAAAGAGCTTCAGAGGGGGGAAATTAGGTGAAAAGAAATGTGTCCAATCATTTCTGTTCTGCCCGTGATGAATATATAAAGACCAATCTACAGCTACAAAATGTGCTCGTCTCTTATCTTTTAAAGATTGTTGTTGTTTGGAGTAGCAACCAAGCTGCGCCCACAGAGAGTCGTCTTCCAGGAGGTAGCGTTCCGGTACACGTCGTAGTGTCGACAGATCGTTCCACCTCAGCACGACACAGCCCGCACCCACTCATTACCACTGATGCTGTGTTCTCCCTTGATGAAGATGTTTCACTCACTACCGATGAACTTGACTTTGCCTTCACTGTATGGCGAACATTCCCCGATCGAATTGTTGGGTATCCTGCTCGCTCACACCACTGGGATGATTCTAAGGTAACGTGTGAGCCACATATATTCACTGAGCCAAAGCATCATCACTTTCATTCCATTCATTTGTTCTCTGGATCATATTTTTTGTTTGTCCTTGAATTCTTGATATTAGAAAGTGTAAATATTTATATTTTTAAGTGTTTTCAACATATTCGTACATTAATTCGTTTAGGGTATAAGTTACCTGATTTACCTAATTTACCTGAGGGCCACTAACACTAGACAATCATAAGGAATGATTCCATCACATCGTTACTCCATAGCACACAATAATGAAGTTTTCTCAGCCATGAAATTGTATAGAGTAATGATGAATGTTTTAAGACTGGACTGGTAATGAGAAGATTTAGGCAGGGAATAAGTCACAGTTAAATGTCTTCTACAGTTTTCTTCCCTCTTGTCTTCTTTTGTTAACTCAGTTTTATCTTGTACTGTAATTAAGTGATATACATTTTGTATTAATGTAGTGGTATACATTGTATATTGGTGTAGTGATATACATTGTATATTGGTGTAGTGATATACATTGTATATTGGTGAAGTGATGATACTTTTATGTATACCTTTTGTAATTTATATTTGTTAATATTACTAACCTTACAAACCTTTGAATACTGATTACTGTTGGGCTGTTCAGTAATCTATTAAAAGTGGCTCATCTAATATTTTTATTTGTTGTGCTTAAATTGTTTTGTTAACTGCTTTTAAAGTTATATATGAGAAATTATAAAGCCCGAAGAAATCACAATAATGTGATATAGTATACAAAAAAATTTTTGGTTCTCTTCCATTGCTTTGTTCCAAAAAGAGTTTCTCAGATATCAAAAAAGCTGTGAAGTACAGTAGACCATAACGTATTAAGTACACAAAACATGGGTTTTGTGTGTGGTACAACAACATCCTTTTAACCTCAAAAGGATGCCTGCTGTGAGCATGTGTGACTCATGAAATATTAGTTAGCATGGGTTTTTCTTGTGTTTTCTTGTGAACCACCATATACTCTCATACAGTATATGGTGGTTCAGAGCAAGTACAATGCGCCTTTCTTTCATGAAATATATCACTTTAGAAGTAAAGTACAGTATACCTTACTATCATGAGGTATATTATGGTAGAAGTGAGCTACAGTTATGTTAGTGGTCTAGGGAAAAGTGTAGTGAAGGCTGACAGTTCCTCCACTTTCAGAGAGAGCTACATCCACCTCACACTCACAGCTTGTTACCATTCAAAATTTGATATGGAATATGTGACACTATTACCAGTAATATTCCTCAAGAGATATATATGCAGTATACATTATATCATAAATTTTCTTGGTGTTAAATGTAAACTCTCCAGATCAAACATTGGTTTCATTTAGAATTTTGTTTTGTTTTATTGCCTTATAATTCGAGGAACCTGCTTTGTTTTCAGGCGGGATGGAGCTATACAAGCAGATGGACCAATTCCTATTCTCTGGTGTTGACGGGTGCCGCCGTGTATCACCGTTACTGGCAGCACGTGTATACCCACCAATCACCCTCAGGTCTACTCTCTACGGTGAAAACCACCTCAAACTGTGATGATATTCTCATGAACTTCCTGGTTTCTGCCATCACCAGACGGCCACCCATTAAGCTCACGCAACGTAAACAGTACAAGGACAATACTTCAGAAGCAAGGTAAGAATGTTGTATCTACTGTATTGTACAATATAAATTTGTTAATTAAAGTATGCTACAATGTTTTTTAATTTACCATAAAAGAGTATCTCGAGTATTAACATTACTATTTATGAGTAATTATAAGCTGTCCCTAATTCTATGCTTCAGGGGTTGAGTTTTAAAAGTACAAGTATATCTTGCAAAAAAAAAACAAAAAAAAAAAAGCATTTTTAATTCAGCCTTATGGCCTGAAGTTGAACCCTAACTTTAAAACCCCACATGAAAGTTATACAGTATTCACATTCAAAATTGCTTCTATGATTTAAACTACCATATACAGTAGTACTCTATGTATGTCGTGTTCAAACATGTGATGTACATAGAGTACTGGTATATGCTAGTGTACAAAATTGCTTTTATGGTTCAAGATGATCATGCTGGTCATCTCTCTTAAGAGTGCATCCAAATATAACTTATGTTTTAAGAATTTATTTGTAAAGGATCCAGTAGAGCAATGGTCAGTGAATTATATTCTCACAACCAAGATGTCTCATCTTGCTGTGAGGCTCTTGGTAGTATGGAAAGAGCAGTGCTCCACATTATGTGACAGCATAATGAACTTTTTGTTGTTCGACAAATGTCGATTCTTACAGTCAGTGTTCAATTGCTAAATATTTACTGTACAGTATTTATTTTTATGTTAGTATATCTTTATGTAATTCCCTTTTCCTTTTGTGTTAGTATATCTTTGTGATCCCTTTTTCTTTTCAGATGGATATGGACAGACCCTACTCATTTCCATCAGCGAACTGTCTGTATGAATACATTTGTGTCACTCATTGGTCATATGCCTCTTCGGCATTCAAACCTTCGTCTTGACCCTGTACTTTTTAAGGACAAAGTTTCCATGCAGAGGAAAAAATATCGGCAAATTGAGAAAATAGGCAGCTAACGACAGCTCATGTTTAGGTTCTATAGTAAATTAGTGTTTGGTGGATATTTTGTTCTGAGTGAAAACTATTTTCACACTAAGCTGAATTTGGTTTGAGTGAGAACTATTTTCACACAAAGCTTAATTTGTTTAGTGAGAACTATTTTCACACTAAGCTTATTTTGTTTTGAATGAGAATTATTTTTCACACTAAGCTTAATTCAATGGAATATAGGTAAAGCAATTATAATGAGCTTTACAGATTTCCATCAGCTTTTTATGTACAGAAATCAAAGAAAGCAATTAGAGTTGGGCTATCATTTTGCCTCTGCATAAATTTTACATTAGGTTACCATATTTGTATAGTATGCAAATGTTTTAATTATCCTAAAAATTTATTAGACTTAATTATTAACCAAAAGTTACAACTTTAATTTCACAAAACAGCTGGTGAATCCCAGAAAATTATTTGCTCTTTAAAAGAGTCATAGTCCACTTTGTTTTGGAATGTATTTCCAAATTTATTGGCAAGTATGGATAGCATAGAACATATCAAATGTTGTGCGATATATTCTTCAATGTGTATTCCTAGGTCATTTTATATGCGAGATAAAACAGGTTTTAATAAAGTCGATAATAATTGGAAGTCTAGTGATTGCAACTCTTCACGTAGCCAAGTCTTGTTTATGTCTTAGATGCGTGTAATAAGAAAATTGTACAGATCTTTACACAGGATGCTACGTAAGGAAGGCCACAAGAAGTGTCTGTAATCATGAAACATATAAGTGAGTCATTCATTATTTATGGTGCCATTTCTTATAGCTATGTATGTTTATAATAAGGACACAGTCATAGCTTATTTAAGTTTTCCTTTTGTCAGGAAATTGTGCTCAAAGGTTCTTTTTATATTGTAGTTTTTTTCTACGGAATTGGAGAAACATGAATGATGGTTTGGTGAAAGATGGTGACATTCTTCACATGTTTTGGAAGGCTTCTAGAGACCATCTTCCATGCTCCTAAACTGTTAAAATTAGTGTTGTTTGTCTCAATCTATCACTAAACCTTTTTGGTATGGGAGTGTTGTGAGTTGCTCTTTTTTGCCACAGTCATTCCAAAGTTCCTGTAAACATAGATTAAGAGGTATATGTAGGAGACTATCTTTATTCCACCATTACAATACACTCTGCTTTCATATCCAAAATCATTGAGGGTTTTTACGGTACTCCTGCGTTAACAGGTTTAATTAAAGGTTTGCTTGGAATTATTCAAGATTTTGTCAACCTGTTTGGTTTCATTAAATATGCAGTACTCATATATTGCAATCCTGGGATTTCAACCCATCATCCAAAAATGCTGGAACTTATAGCAACTATTGGTCAAATGGAAAATTGGAGTGTTTTGCACCCATAAAAAGTTCATGGTTTATACTATTAATTTTGTAGACAGCAGGAGAAAGAAAGCAGCAACCAAACCTAAACTTTGCTAGGTCATATATTGCACATGTATGCACTAAATTAGACTTAAGATGGTGTTAGTTAGGCCTTGGATTGCTTATTTAGGCCTAGAACAGGTCACATTAGGTTGTATTGTTACCGTTCCAATTACAGGAATACCATATGGTGTATTCCAGTATTAGAAAACATGAATCTTTTTTCGGGTACAGAAGTCCACTTTTATATGTTTCTCCAAGGTTGCGATTAGTACTGTCATTTGTGGAGGATGGCTTGTAAGATTTGCAGTAGAGTATACAGTATGAATGTTTTGATGGTGCATGTGGGGTTAGGAAAACATTTCATAAATAACAAATCTGACAATTAGAAATGGTACTCTTTCTCAGGTGGGTGTGAAATTCATCACAGCTTACAATTCTACAATATTTGAAGAACAATATGCCTTTTTTTTTTAATGATTTTTACTTATAAGTGGAAAATATATGGAGAAATATTTTAATATCTTTAGAATTTGAATATTTAGTTGGAAAATCTAGTTTGAGAAGCTAAGGGATTCATATGAAACACAACAAATGTTTATTGAATACTCATTTTTGTGTCTAAAGCATTGGTGCTTCTTTGATGTAGTATATAGTGAAAATATGTGACAGCTTAGACGTCATCAGTATGTGTGCATATGATTTTATGTTTTGTTGTAATGTGTTGTGTATTTTCTTCTTTTGTACAGTCATGCTAAAAACATTTCACAAAATAACTGAAATGGTTCGTGGATTTCAGTTATATGGTCATTACGTTTTTGTTGTACTTTACAGTTGTGTTCATAGGAATATGATATTATCATGAATACAAATAAAGATGTTGCATACACTAAATTGTATAAACTAATTCTTGTTTAGCTCAGAAAACTTACACATTCTTTGTCATTTATCACATATTGGAGGGAGCAATGTATTTATTTTTGCATCTTCAAGTAAATAACAAGAAAAATTTACTAAATATACAGTTCAAAATATAAACTCTTAAAGACCTACAAAACTTACTAAAAATAATATTACATAAGTTCATGGCTGGTCTTAGTAATTTGAATGAAAGTGATGTTTTAATTTGATGTGGCATGATGGGCTTGTGCAAGTTGACATGAGGGAACTGCGCATGAGCAAACGTTGACATGAGCGAACTGTACGCGCCTGGTTGTACTCACCTAGTTGTGAGTACAACTAGGTGAGTACAGTACTGTGTTGAAGCTTTTGTGTGGGTCTTAGCTCATTTTATTATATTTGAAGTTTACCAGAAAATAAATGTTGAAGGGATTTAAATTACCGTAATTAAATAATGTTACGTATTTTTGCATGTACAGTACTGTAATAAATGCTGAATATAAGTGATCTGAAATGTCTCCCTATAGACTTTGGTATGCAATAGGTATATATATTATTATTGATTTATAGTTCTGATAGTTTATGTGCATTGTTTTAAGATTGTAATGTATGTTGACATTAATTACTGAGAAGTTTTGACTCATAAATAAACACTATAAGCTTGCTTACACACTAATTACCAGAATAATGCAAAGCAGGTTAAAACGAAGTTTCACAATTATGCCTGATAGCTAGTGAAGCAGTATTTGATAAACTTGTTAAAAATCAATATAATTTAAGTTCAAAATTTATTGGCAATACACATGACTACTATTATAACTACTACTACTACTACTACTATTACTACTATTACTAGTACTACCACTACCACTACCACTTATTAGTTTTAAGGAATTTTCAGTTTAAGTGAACAGCTTGAGACTATTTTTTTGTGGATGCCGTTGCTAAACTATGGTGAGTTGTGTGTGAGTTCAAATTTAATTTTAAATACGTTTATTGAGATATAAGTACTCTCAAAGGGATAAAATAGCTCAAGTTATTCTGACCTCCATTTCACATGTGAGTGTGCTGTCCTTATAAATACAGAATGAATCATGTTTTTATCCGAATGATTTTGTCATAGGTTCCTTTGAAGTATATTTTCACAGTGATATTGTCCACAATAATTGATATTCCAGGGTGTATTTTTGTAAGTTGAAAATCCACTCAAAGTGTAAATATTGTACAGCACTCAAGGAGTGAACTAAGGAGTAAATGTCACTCAGTCAACCCTATTCCATTCCCAAGTATTTGCAGTGGAAGTGAACATATTTCAAGACACCCAAACCACAAATTTGAAAATAAAGGAAGTGATAACCTTTCAGCCCATCATGGACCATTATGAAGTCGTGTGACTTGATAATGGTCCAGATCTGATAATAGTCAAGAAATGATCCAATATACAAAAATGTTGTCATTTCCTTTATTTTCAGATTTCTGGGTTGGGTGTCTAATTTTCATCCACATTATTTCGACTTACTCTCTGTATATTTCACCAATTATTGCTTGTCTGTCGCCAAACTTTCAGTATGGCCGTATACATAATGTATATTCCAGGTAATTTATGTTCAGTTTGATTAAATAAGGTTGTAAGCATTAGGATACGCTACCAGACACATGAAGCCACCATTATTATGGGTATAGCTGTGTCACTTATCCAGAAGAAACTTACTGATAAGAATTTTACTACTTATAAACTGTGCCTCATCTCATGTAATCGATCAAGTGCACAGTTCACTTAGTTCTGGGTCACCACAGTGTGCAATTCTAAAATAATTTGTAAACTAAATTGTTTTACGTGTTTCTTCTTTGTAAACGAGTTCAAATGTTTTAGAAATTTCAAATTACTGTACGTAATTAAATTCAGATTTTGATATCAGTTAATGAAATCTAGATAGAGTTAATGTTAAATTTTCTTGTAGAGTTTATGGAAAAACAAAATAAAGGAGTGAATGAAGAAAAATGCTAAAAATGGTCTCAAACTTTATATTTTGGGTGTTCTTGGTCACAGTGGTCCAAAAGTGCACAAAATTGTTTCAAATTAACGAGTCTTTATTTATAATAATGTTTGTCAGAATATTAGATTGCCAGAGACATGTCAACTCTTGCCACTAATTATAATAGTGTACGAACAAAACTTAATTTCTTGAAATTTGTGTAGTGAAAAATGTCATGTGTCGCAAACCGGATTCACCCCTTGATGAACGAACATACATCATAAGATGTAAGCCATCCTCTAAGGGTTAAGCATTCTTTGAGATTTTAATATATTTGAGAAGCTTTAATGCAAATAGATGTACAGTATCTTTGAAATTTTGACAATGTTAAGTTATTCATTTGGATGTATTTTGTCTTTATTGAGCAAAAAATTTTTTTAACTTGCAGAAACTAAACTTTCAGGACATGCTGAAATACAGTGTCTAAAATATATATTTCAAGAACATTGAACAATGATTATAGCTAATACGGTAGTCCTTGTCTCACGTTACTTCTGTAGCAGAGGAATACACACAGTTAGAGCCTTTTCCCTCACCCCTAGGCAAATTTGGGCAAACAATGATAATTTAACATTGAATTAATGTTGAAAATGTTGTTTGCATGTTGATTATCGTTACTTGAGAATATTTTGCCTGCTAGGATGTTAGGATTTGGCCTGCTTGGATAACATAAGAAAGCAGCAATATATGTAACAAATACAAACACATACACACACACACACACACACACACACACACACACACACACACACACACACACACACACACACACACACACACACACACACACACACACACACACACACACGCACGTAATTAACAAATGGAATGCATTAGGCAGTGATGTGGTGGAGGCTGACTCCATACACAGTTTCAAATGTAGATATGATAGAGCCCAGTAGGCTCACGAATCTGTACATCAGTTGATTGACAGTTGAGAGGCGGGACCAAAGAGCCAGAGCTCAACCCCCGCAAGCACAATTAGGCGAGTACACACACACATGCACACGCACACGTTTGCATTCATACCGTCCAATTTTATACATGATTTCCTCACTTCATCTTCGACTTAGCTGAACTTTTTTAACAATACATATTGAACTTATCTAATGCTATATACCTGGAGCATACCCGGAGCCTACCTGAATAGTTTTTAAATGGATGCTGTTTTTTTGTATTTAAGAATTATTATTTAAGGTTTGATTAAGAAAGAGAGCATTATTTCACTAGGCAGCTGAATTTAATACAATAAGTGGAATATTATTTTGATATCATATATTTGGACATACAGTACGTGTACACACAAATTTAAATATAAGCATCAACTACATGCACCCATGTTATTATGATGCTTTCCCTTCAGAATGATTGGAAATTTTGCTCTCCCACTATTCCTTTGAGTCAGTCGTATGTCCCTTGACAAAATCTATGGTAACTCTGATTCTTCTGATATCAGTCGTCTTTCAGCTCTTGTATTGGTATTCTCAATAATTTTGTAACACAGGGTGCTAATAGCCTTTCAGGTTTGGCAATTTTTTTGTTTAACTATGTCACAATCCCTCTCCCGATCCTGAGTGTAAATGTTGCCAGCTTTCCCTTAACATGGATCTGGACCAGGGTTCATCAAGCACTGACGCAGCCTCTGTACATCTTTCCTTGAATCTGGTAGATTAATCTGTATTTATTAAACAGTTTATGAACTTATAAACTTTACAACTCAAGGTTATAATTGCTATAAACCACCTCGTAGTCTTTCAGAGCTTGTAAACTGATTAATAAATGAAATCAAAGCTGCCATAATCCAGGAAAGATATATAGGTTTTGTAAGAGAACAGTTAAGGTCATGGTGAGTCCTATTGTTTATTATGGGGTTGTACATGGATTAGGTTCTGGGAGTTCTACTCACAAGCCCAGCATGTAAGTAGGACAATACAAGCCCAGCCCAGGGCCTGGCTTGCCTTGTGAGAACTTGGTCCAACAGTTCGTTGCTTGAAGCATCCAGCAGGCCCACATATTCAATATAGCCTGGTTGGTCTGCCACATCTTGCAGAAAACTGTCCATTTTTTTGTGAAGACTTCCACTTTTGTTCTGGCAATATTTCTTATACTTGCTGAGAGGATATTGAACAATGGTAGGCTTCTGAAGTTCATACAGTGTTCTGTGATTGTGCCTATGGCACCTCTACTCTTCACTGGGTGGCCTTGTGTCTTCCTCTGTTGCACACTGTCACATGCAGTTAACTTTGAGTTCTGAACAAACTAACAATTTAGCTTCCAGCTATCTTTTGGTCTTTGAAACACCTTTAAATTTTTGACCTGGTCATGGGATTTGTAACTACTGTTCCTTGATGTTGTATTTGTGCAGTTGGCAACTTCAATTGGGTATGAGACAGCTATATGCTCTGTGTGTTTGTCAGTGAGAAAGTCGCTTAATGAGAGTGAGTGTGTGTGTGTGTGTGTGAATTTATGATGGAGGGTGGATGTGGTGAGTGACAGAGAATGTAAATGTGGAAGTGATTGAGTATATGAATGAGTATGTGTGAAGGACAGTGAGTGTGAGGGAATGAGAGAGAAAGAGTGTGTGTGTGTGTGTGTATTTTATTTATTTACTATTTGTATCTGCAGAATCGAGCTATTAGCTCTTGGACCCCTGCCTTTATAACCAATTTATTTTCCTCTTTTATATCTACGACATATATATTTCACTCTAACACATGCACACACATGCACATCCCCAGGAAGCAGCCAGTAGCAGCTGGCTAACTCCCAGGTACCTATTTACTACTAGGTGAACAGGGTTATCAGGGTGAAATAAACTCCCCATTTGTTTCTGCCTCTGCCAGGAATTGAACATGGGCCCTTAAGACTATGACCCCCAGAGCGCTGTCCACTCAGCTGCAAGGCCCCTCTCGTGTGTGTTTGTGTAATTACCTAAGTGTAGTCACAGGATGAGAGCTATGTTCATGGTGTCCCGTGTTCCCAGTACTCTTTGTCATATAACGCATTGAAACTACTGATAGTTTTGGTCTCCACCACTTTCTCACTCAACTTGTTTGTTTCAACCGTCTACCACTCTGTTTGCAAAAGAAAACTTTCAAATATTGGGTGGCGAGGGGAAATGGTAGTGTAAGAGTAATTGTAATTACCGAAGCGTAGTTATAGGATGATATTGACACCAGGTGCAGAAAGAATGTACATAAATTCTCTTTTTCCGAACCCATACACTCATAAAACAATCTATTAACCCTTGCACTGCTCACCTATTTTCGGCAAAAACGTCTTGGTGGAATTGTCAAGGACATATTTTTGTTATTTTTACAAATGTTCAGGTAAATTTAATGTCAAAATGTTTCCAAAGTCAACTATTTCCATTTCAAAACACAAATAGTAATGAAAATATTAAAAAACATTAAAATATAGTCAAATTAAAAAACAAAAAGAACAACTCTCTGAGCGCCTAAAGGCGCTTTGCGCAGTGCAGTGGTTAAGAGAGGATAAAGGCATTAATTATACCAAATCTGGAAGATAGAAGGAAAAGAGGCAAATAGGATTTCTACATTCAAAATAGTAGAATAAAAATAAACAAGAAATAATGTAAATTGAATTAATTTGTTCCACACTCCCAAAAATATTAATTTCAAAATACATTTCATACATAATAAACAAATATTTTGTACTATAGTATGTACTAGTTATAGATTACCTTTATTGATGACTCTTGTTGGTGTATAGAAGACAGTGAGGAGGGTGGGGGTGGGGGGGGGGGGGGGGGGGGAGGAGGTGTTAGTGTTTGGAAGGGAAGTCCCTCTCCATTATACCATCAGACAGTGATGACTTCTCTGGGGTACTCTCCTATGTTTTACCTGCATACCACTAGGACCTGGTTGTTGCTCACTGCTTGTTTGTGTCACAAAGAACCTTTCCATAGAGACTTACTTTTCCTCTATGGTCATCCTCACATGTGTTTTAATAGGTTGAACCTTACAACTGACTTACTTAGGACCCATGGCATGGTATATAATAATTACTTCTATGTTTAGAAACCAGAAGAGCTGAAAGCAATGAGATTCTTTACAAAGAATTCAAGCGGGATCGTCACTACGTAAGAGGCACTGTTAAACTTCTGACCTGTGCCAGAACCTGGTCCCCTCAGAGAGGCGCAGAGAGCAATGGCCTATGAACACTTTACATTTAAAGTATATCATACGTGCCATCGACTAGGGAAGGCACCCAGAGAGGTAGGGGAAACAAAACAGACTACTGTCTGGTTGAAAAATTTGACCTATGTCCTCAAAAGAGCAAAAAACTCCACCATAAAGAAAACAGACAACACGTCATTCAACTAGCCCACAGCTCGTTAGTGTCCCCCCCCCCCCCTTATGGGGAACAGGGGAGCCGGCTCATCCAAGTCACTCGCTCACATACATATATACGTACAGTACTCAATATTACACAGGGGTACGACCAGCACCTCTCATTTATAAATATTTTAAAAGTTTAGGAAGAAATTTAGCATTTACAGTACCTGTATTGTTAGTTATGCTGTATTTAATTTCTTTATTTTGTATTGATAAAACCCTTGATTAAGAATTTTGGATGCTACTGTTAAGTTTTATTGTAAAGTAAAATCAGACTTTCAGTTATATTTTTGGTGCTTTTTAGTACTGTACTTTTAATATTATTACTTACGAAATAAACAAAATTTGAAAATGTGTTTTTAAGAGTAAATATTGTAGGAATTGTTTAGCCATAATCAATTGTGTTTTAGGCTTTGACAACTTTGTTTTAGTGAAGGAGTCAATATATGTACTTATTGAACAGATATTTGGTGTAGAAATGAGAACAGTATGTACAGTAAATACCTGACCAAAATGTGGTATAAATATTTGTAAAATATTGGTGGAATGTTGTAGTTTTTGTTATTTAAGAGTGCAGGGTACATGCAGTATAGTGGAAAAATGTACTGTAACCTTAACGATATTTTTAATGTTATACAATTCTTGATTGAATGTTTTAATACGTGTTATTTATAATGTAAATAATAAATAAATTTTTGTGTTGCAATTGTTTCCAGAAAATGTCTTGTCAATTCTATTCCACTTCATGTATGTTTTGTTTTTCATAGGAACAATGGGATCCATTAGGCATATTATTGAATTTTATAATGTTTAGGAACAGGCTTTATTGCAATTGTATCATAGATACGAACAAGTACAGTGCAGTACAGTAATTTTGTTTTTCCCATTTTTATTAAATTTTTCAAAATTCAACTTCATTATACAGTTACACACACACATACATGCCAAAAATATATAAAAAAATTACTACATTTTTAATAAATTACTAAACACTGGTAAATATGTTAAATACACTTACCAAACATGAGTTTCAGTAGGAAAAAATTGTGATGGGCTGCGAGAGGTATGAGAAGTAATTACCTAAGTGTAGTTACAGGATGAGAGCTACGCTCGTGGTGTCCCGTCTTCCCAGCACTCTTTGTCATATAACGCTTTGAAACTACTGAAGAAGTGGTTTAAAAAAAAAGAAGTGGTTTACAACGAGTGTTAGGCCGGGTGTTTCACTTGTTTATCTCTCAGTGGTAAAGGTAAATATTTTATTTTAGGCAGACAAATCGACCCCTGGTTTTAGAGTGATATTTTTATGCTTTAAATTTCGACTCATATGCCAGGATATACTGGTATGGTAATTAATTTTTATTGAGGGACAGGCAGCCTGTGTATATGAAGTATATATTTATATGTTAGGCTTATTTCAAAGTCCCCTTCCCCCCCTTCAAGGTCAGACTACTCAC